AGAAGAGGGAGTAACTACTTAATGGGTGGGGACTTTTCCTCTGTGGTGATGAAAGTGTCTTGGAACTTGGCAGATGTTGGTGGTAGCAAATAGTGAATATATTCAAACTGAGTTATGAATTTCACCACAATTTTTACAAAAAATAATTCAAGGAAGGTGGGGGTAAAGTTATATCCATTTTGCAGATGAGAAAACTGGGCTCAGAGAAAGCAGTCAACTGCCTGGAGGGGGCTCACCCACCACAGTCTCAGGCCGGTCAGAGCCCAGCAGAGGAGAAAGTTGCTCATCACCTCCCTCCATCCCCGGGCCCCGGCTCTGTACCTCTGGGTCCTCTCTCTGGGACATTTGGAAACCAGAGCTCCCCTCACAGACCTGGAGTGAGCCAGCAGAGTAGTACCTGCAGGAGACCCCAGAGCCATAAGCTCCATCAACAGACAAGGCTGCCACAGCAGGAGGGGCTGAACATCCAGTAAGAAGTGTAGAGTCCCACCTGAAAATTGAGGGGTCCCAAGAAGGGCTGGCAGGCCCATCTGGAAAATGGGGGGGACAGCAAATATGATTCCTAAAAGGTAAGTGAGAGGCCTGGAATTCCAGTGGACCTCCAGTTTCCCCTAACAGGGAAACTAGGGAGGCCTCAGAACCCAGAATGGCAGAGACAAAGGTCCAGGCACATGAGGGCTTGTCTGTCTGGCCCAGAGCACTGTGGTGACTGCCCTCCCCAGATCCGGATATCTGCTCAAGTTCCCTAAACACCCAGCCGCACGTCTGCTATTTCTGCTTGGGAAGCCTTCCCTCACCCTTGCAATCTCTTGGCTGTCCTCCAAAGCCCACCAGAAGTGGCACTCTGCCCTGGCCAAGTCATTCCCTCCCTCTGGCTCCAGCCACAGGGGAAGGACCAGGTGCTTCTCTCACCTCCTGACAAGGGCCAAGCTCACCCATCTTTGGTCCCCTGCACCTCATGCTGAACCCAGCCCCAGGAAAGATCCGGGTTCTGAACAACCAAGATGCCATCCCGCAGCCTTCCCACTTTAAGGCTTGATGTAAGCGCCCTGGTCCCTGTGGCTCCACAGTCCCTCCCTCTGCTGAGAGAATAGCAACCACATTGATAACCCTAGCACCTAATGTTTATGGAGCAGCTACTAGAGCCTCATACTACCTAAGGGCTCTCCGGGCGCTATCTCTTTTCATCCATGCCACAGCTTATACGATAAGAAAGTTAATCCTGTTCACAAGAGAATCAAGCTCTGTGAGCTGCCCAGAGGCACAGAGCTAGGGAGTGAGGGAGGTGAAACTCAGCCCTTGGTGGTGTGTTCCAGAGCAGGTGTTCTTACTCACTACCCGCCCATGGGGAGCAGTCCTCAAGACAAGTTCTAAACAGGAGATGAACTCTGAGATTTCAAAAGCCGGTGCTCCCCAGGCCTCCTCTTTCCCCAGGTCCCTGCCAAAGACCCCAAAGAGCAGCAGGGCCTCCTCCCAGCCCCGGCCTGCTGCTCCCAGGCCCATCCTATGCTGAGTGCCAGTTACAGGAAACATAAAAGGCCCGTCTGCAAGAGCCTTGGCCTGGACAGGGAGGCGCACAGCTGCCCACTGGGAGGCAGAGCCATGATTTGGGGCTATTCTTAGCAAACCACTGGCTCCCCTCCCAGAGGCCTGGCAGGCAGCAGGCCCCAGCTTCCACACACCCTGCCTGCCATTACCCAGCGCATAGTGGTCCCTCGGGGCAAAGAGGTGGCCAGTGGGCAGAGGGTGAAGACAAAACCCTCTAGCTCTCAAAGCAGAAGCACCTGCCTCCCAGCCTGCCCAGGGCCAGGTACTGTGGCTGCTGAAGCAGCTCTAAAGAGTGCTGGACATGGGGGAGAACACCACGGCCTTCCACTGGTTATGTCGAATGTAACCCTTACAACACCTCCAGGGGATCAGGGTTACTGGCCCCATTTTAAAGATGAAGAGCTTCATCTTTAAAGATTAGTTAGTTAGGACATTAAGTACTTTGCCCACAGTCATAGAGGGAGTGAGTGATGAGCTATGTGCAGACTCTGGGCTGGCCCCCAATCTCCAGGTTGGGTAAAAGAGTGGTAACCACAGCCATAAGGTGGAGGGCCCCTTCCCTGTCTAGGTGCAGGGTTTTGGGCCTGTACGGTTCACACCAGAGGGCAATGACCTCATCAAAAACCCCCATTGTATGTCTACCCAGGGGTTTTCTCTGCCAATGAGAGTCCCCAGCCTGGCTCCTCCCCTGTCCTGGCCACCCAGCCTCACTCAGGAAGCTCTGGAGACCCAGGGAAGACAAGACTCAAAGGTTCAAAAGGCCCCTGCTGGTGCTTAAGGCATGCACCCAGACTGCAGTGCAAGGAGTGAGTGGGGAGGTCAGCTGAGTAAAACAGAAAATACTTGGCCCTTTGGGGCCTTCAAACCCCAAAGTGGGAGTCTAGAAATGAAAGTATGCCACAGCACACCACTACCCCAAACAGGACAACCTCTGGGCATTGCTGCCACAGGGGAAAACAGGGAGAACTGAACAGTGCCCCCCACCAAGACTATATCTCAGTACCCTATTCAGTCTGCATCCTGGACGCTGCTGTCAGGAGAGGCAGGTTTACGTGTCTGTGTCCCCAGGAGCCCAGAGCCAACTCCAAGTGTGCTCCGGTGTTCAAGCACTTCCGTGGGGCTCGCATCTGCGAGCATCAGTTCACATCCCTGTCTGTGCTCCGGCGGGTCCACCCATGTCTTCCCACTTCCACGTCTCCCTTCCATGTGGCTTCAAATCCTCCTGACGTTGCAGATCTGTCTATATGGTGTCTGTGGCCCATATGTGGCCCATGTTTCTGTGTTCACATGTTTGTCCCTGAATATGGCTGCAGTTTCCTGTGCCTATCTTCATGCATGTCTGTATTCAGATCCTCTTTGTCTCTGCCTGGGCTTGACCATAACCTGAGTGTGCACACCTGTACCCCCACCTGTGCCCAAGTGACCCTGTGTGTACCACTTATTTGGAGGCAGGTGTGTTCATCAAGTGTTCCCAGAGCTGGTCAAGGGTTGAGGGGGGTGAGATCAGCACTCCCCTCTACTCCTAAATCAGCACCCAAGGCCACAGGTATGAGCACACTGCCCTCTTTGCTCTCTCTGCAGAGTGGTCCAGAAAAGTTAAGGATGATGGGAGAGGGGCAGAACCCCAGACACCACAGAACCACAGAGATGAGGTCGGCGCTGCCCCAGGTGCCACTTACCTCAGGCCAGCCCTGCCCACCAACCTCAAACACCCAATGACCAGTTGACCAGCGGTGTGGGGCGTGTATGTCTGCATTCCAGGAAACAGTATCAGACGGCAGGCCTCCAGCCTCCCAAACTCATCCCCAACCCCCAGTGACAGAGGTTCTTGAGACAGGAAGTAAAGACTTCCTCTCCAGTGGTCTCGGAATCTCCCATAGGGCTGGATCTAGACCCAGGAGCCCTCAGGAGCCACAGGGCAACTGCAAGAGTCACATACTCAGCCTGACCCAGAAACCAAATAGGCTTCTTCAGAAATCCACTAGCAGGAAAACACACGCACACACACACACAACCTGGAGAGAGCTGGAGGGCTCATATGCACAGGAGGGTCTCAGCCCCTGGCAGCTCCCGGAGGTGGTGAGGGGTCCTAATGACCAACCAAAAAATAAGGAAGGATGGGTGTGGGGCTAGAACATTTTAAATACATTTTCAAGGTGCATGAGAACAGGCTCCCAGCAACCGCAGTGATGGCAGTCTATGTCACTCACTTAGTAATTAATCACATGCAGCTTCTTGGCATTTCCACTATTATTACTAGTCCAGGGCTGGTATCAAAACCCCTAATGAGGGCCTCCCCGGTGGCGCAGCGGTTGAGCGCTGGGTTGCGAAGCTGCCGGCGACCTCTGCGGCGCCGGTTCGATCCCCGGCTGCTCCCCGGCCACTGGAGGAGGGTCCCACATGGCGCGCAGACCTCTCCTGCCGCCCGCTCCCCTCAGCAGTGTACTTCGGTCCTTCTGCCTGCTCTGCTCCCCGCTCTGGCTCTGGTGAATTCTCTCACCCTCCCGCGCTTCTGACTGTACCCAGTGCATGTATAAACAAAGAAACAAACAAATAAATAAATAAAAAACATGCCTCTATTAAAAAAAAAATAAATAAATAAAACCCCTAATGAGCAAACTTTTTGTATGTTTATGTCTTGTCTTCACCCGTGGGGTTCAGCCACCTGAGGACAGAAATCTTCAGCTCCTCCCACCACACCCATCCTCCCCAGTGGCGCCCAGTGCTGGTATTTACCAGGGGCTGGACCGCAGGGTCCAGCTCTGCACAGAAGCCAGGAACTGTGCCCGGACTGTGGCTGCAAGAGTGGAGAAGCACAGGAGCTTCTAACTCAGAAACCTTTCTTCCACCCCTGACTCCCCAAAGATAACATGTTCCAATCATCCTGGCCACTTAAAAAGTACAGTGGTCAGACCCCCACAGGCCACTCTGCTTCCTGGCAGGTCCCTGACCTTCCAGGACAAACTTCTGAAAAAGAAAAGGGGGCTCTCCCGGGAGACCAAGGCCCACAGATGGCCAGATGGGCCCGGAATCAAAGCCTATGCTCGCTGGGACCTTTGAACTCTTCTCTGTTCCGAGGGCTCCAAGTCCTCTAAAGAGGAGCCCAGGGGCCGCGAAGCCGGCTGGGGCCATGCCCCAGGCCTAGTTGAAAACAGTGGAGCTGTCGCCAGGCCAGGCTACCCCAGTCCGAGGGAAACCTCAGGGGCAGGTAGCCCAGAGTCCCAATACAGAATGACTCTGTAACTGCTCCCTGTGGACATGTGAGGTCCGGCTTCTCTCCAGCACCTAACCCGTGCGGGTGGGGGTCCGGGATCGCCTCTCCAGGAAGCCCAGGAAGGCGCGCGTGCCCGGGAAAGGGGAGCGGGTGGTCAGAGCAGTCCCGGGCGCGGGTGCCCAGAGGACGGCCGGATCTGCCCTCCCCTCGCCAGCCCAGGGTGAGAACGCGTCGGTACCTGCCAGCCCGCGGGTCCCGGGTGCATCCGCGCTCCTGCAGCCGGCGCGCTGCGCCCTGACCGCGGGCGCCAAGTCAGGCAACAGCGGGGTGCGCCCAGCGCGGGCTCCGGCTCCCTCCTCCCTACTTCTCAAGCCCATCCGTGGGCAGACGGCTCCGGAGGCGGGCAGGCCGGGCGAGGCGAGGCGAGGCCGAGAGAGCGGGAGCCCGTGCTCGCGGCAGCACAGGCAGCGCGCCCCAGCCCCAGCGCGCCGCGCGGATCCCCGCGCCCCGCGTCCCCCACGCCGAGGGGCGGACCCGGCCGGGCCGCCAATCACCGCGGCCGCCGCAGCCCGGCCAGCGGGAACCAGGGTCCGGGTCACCGAGGGGGCGGGGGGCTCGGATTTAAAGACACACTCACCCCAGCCGCGCCCCGACTGGCATCCCGGAGCCCTGAGCCCCGGGCGGGGAGGGAGAGGCTAGCCCCACCTGCCCCCGCCTCGCTTCCTCCCTCCGCCGGCCCACCCTCCGCGAGAAGGAAAAGTTTGGGGCGGGGGAGACGGCCTGGGAAGCTGGTTCCTCCTCCCTGGTCATTAGCTCGCCTCGTTCTGGAAGATGCCCAAACCCCACTTCCAGCCTCCCTGATTGGAGAAAGAACCGAATGCTCTCGGTGCCACATACCCCATGCCCAGCCAGAGGTTCCAGCCCCCCTATGCTTTTTAAAGTCGACTGAGCTTTGTCGAGACTGAGACGAGTATCCAGGCTCCGGAACCAGTTTCACTATGCTGTGCAACCTGAGATAAGTGATTGCCCTCTCTGAGCCTCAGCCACTCCAAGTGCTAAAGAGTGCCTCTTACAGAGCAGAATGTCCGCAGACCGTTCCCCCAAGCTCTTGACATCCAAGGAAACACGTCCGCCTCGTGGCAACTGCCCCCTATGAAAACGGAAGATCAGGGTCGAAACTTAAGAAGAGGAGAGTTCCCTCTGCCCCCACCCTGGCTCTGGAGGTGAAATGCACAGTCCACGCTGGGGGCGGGGGGGGGGGGGGGGTTGGTGGCCTGTCCCTGGCTCCAGCACTGTGCCCTTCTGTGAAAAACTCCAGAGGCCCATGCTTGCCCACGGACGCCCCGCGGATACACACGTGCGTTCGGATACACACGTGCGTTCATTCTCTCAGTGCTGCTTCCTCTCCTGAGACCGGCTTTGTTGTATTTGGTGAGTCACTTCCTCTGTCTCTCTGATCGACACTGGGGAAATCCTTCTTCCTCACCTGTCATTACCTGCCTCCTCGCCTATTAGGGCTGGAATGGGAGTGGGTCTAGCTCTAACCCTAGCTCCCCAGGATGCAAGCACTGCAGGCCTCCCCTCTGCCCAAGGTCTGGCCAGAGGTCTCTGGGCTGAGAGGGGCCCACAGGCCTGAGACTAAACAAAGACCGGAGGAATGCTGTCACTTGACATACTCCGACCAGGCATCCAGCACCTAGGTCTCAAGTGCTTCACCTGGAGGACTCTAAACGGTAAATACCTTTATTGTCCCTATTTTAATGGGTGAAGAAACTAAGGCCCAGAAGATTTGGACTCAACTATTAGTCACCTCCCACCCTACCCAAGGTGCAAGGAGGAGTTGAGAAGCAGAGAAAGTACAGGAGTGGCCTTGAAAGCAGACCTCATAGTTTATTGTGCAAACATGCATATATTCCTGCATGCATGTGAACATTCTCCCCACCCCGCACCATCCCGTGGACATGGCTGTCAGCCTCTCTCAACTAAGCTCCCAGAGGACAAAATTCTGAATCTGACCTGTCTCTCAGCCCATGATGCAGTGCCTGGCACATTGTCGTTCATTCATTTCTATTCACCGTGCACACAGTAGGTATTCTTGTTGAATCCAGGAGAAAAGCCCAAGGAAATGATGTCTCCAGGTAAGCCTACAGTCCCTGGAGCTCCAACGGTTCCTGACCTGGGCTGGTAGTGCCCAGAGCAGAGGGCTGGGGGATTGGAGATGTCTCCAAGGCAGGCCACAGACAGTATCCAGACCACAATGTCCAACCTCACTAGCCCAGCCCAACCCCTCAAGGTTCTGCCAAGTCCCTGTTCAGAGCAGCTAGTCCTGTGTCCCTGGCTCCCTGCTGGTCATGGAGCTGGAGGCACCCTCCCCCCCCACTAGAAAGTCTTCAGACCAGATTCACTCCACCCAGGACTTGGGGAGGAAGGGGGTGGATGTTGAAGGAGAAAAGAAGGGACACAGAACAGCCCTAGGTCTACCCATGAGAACACTCTGCACTCTCTTCCTAGCCCCAGACAGAAGAGAAGACTTGGTTGGGTCAACTCCCTTAAACCGATGAAGAAGGGCCTCCCTGGTGGCGCAAGGGGTTAAGACACAACCTATTAAGCTATCCGAAACCACTGCAGCAGCCAGGGAGTAAGGGAGCGACCCACATGGCAAAGCAGACCTCTCCTGTCTCGCCCACTGTGCCCCTCAGCAGTGTATTTCAGTCAATCTGCCTGTTCTGTTCCCCACTCTGTCTGGGTGAATCCTCTCACCTCCACACCTCTGGCCTGTACCCTAGTTCTTGTATGTATAAATAAATAAATCTTAAAAAAATAAAGCCTGCTGCAGAAGCTCCCAGAGAAGTCTAGACACTCAGAGCAGAAGCCCAAAAGTACCAGCCTCCTAGAACTGACCTCAAGACCTACTTCCACTCTCCCAGCACCCCCACCAGCACCCCACATCCCACAGGTACAGTACCCAAGAGATCACCTAATCATCTGCAGAATACCAGGGCCCTGTGGATGGCCCTGCACAAATATGCTTATATGTGAAGACATGTGCATGCATACACATTGCTTGTGCTGCTCGTTTGTGAACTCTTGTTTGCAGAGATGTGAATCCGGTGTCAGCATTTGTGCAAGTGTCCACTGGGTGCAAGTGTGGTGTGTGTGTATACATGGGTATGTGTAATACACAAACAAACAAACCCAGCACAGTACCAAGACAGATAAGCTGCCACGGCAAAGAATAATGAAAAACCCTAGTACTCACAGTTGCAGGAGACCTGCCTCTGGCTGTTGACAGCCTGTCTGTCCAAGCAAGCAAGGTGCTCCCGCTCCTGGGAGAGCGCTCCTAAGTTTAGTGCCTGTGCAGAAACGTAAACTGTGGGAAACCCCAATCCCACGTTGGAACACTCAAGTCAGGAATTATTTTCTGACAGGCACTGACTACTCGCCGGAAGGCAGAGGAGCTGGGTTTAAACCAGCAAAGATGAGACGTGACAGAAGATGAGAAACAGGCCCTATTGCTCTTTTCTGCTCCTCAATCGGTGCTAAAGCCACCACAAGCTGGGGGACTCTGGGCCAGAGGAATGGACAGTATCAGGGCAGGGGGCCAATCTGGACTTGATCCCTATAGCCATGTTACTGCTAAGAACTAGGACTCACATGGGTGCTCCAGGGTGGGTGTTTTGGGGTTACAAGTTTCCCCTTGAGCCAGGCAGTCTCTCTGAGCCTCAGGTAGCGCATGCCTGCTGCCTGAATCCTGACACAGACCATCCCCATCACCCTGGCAGCCTCTGGGGCCCTGCCCTGGCTGCCTGCCCTTCCAGGCCTGCTGCCCATCCCCAGCATTCAGCACTCCTAAGTGGACCCCAGCTGTGTGCAGTCCAGGGCTTGAAGCCACAGACTACCCTGGAACTAGCCTCAGCAATTTCATCACTGTATGGCTCCTACCCTAAAAATCACCACATTTCCCCAAATCTCATTTCCTCCATTATCAAATGGCTTGAAGAGCAGTTCCTGCCTCTTGGGGATGTCTGGAGGATTAGAGGAGTGCCGGCACTCAGCCAAAGGTCACTGGTGATGATGACTGTTGTTACTGTTATTGCCAGACAAGCTCCAACTCTGACCCAGCCCTGAACCAGCGAGGGCAGAGAGGCTCTTCAAGACTGAGTTCAGGTTCTGCCTCCTCCAGGCAGTCTTCCTGGCTAACAGGATCCCTGTCTGCTCTGGACTCATTTCCTTCACCTCTGTGCAGAGTTATGGGGCCTGAGTACTCCTGCCTGGCACAAAATGCATTTTCAATAATTGGCATCATAATTATCAGTGAAATCATTCATTTTGGTTGTCTCCTTCTTTAGGTCTAGCCTGAGGATAACATCTCCCACCTCCCCAAATCACACCCTATGCTCAGATTTTGAGTGAGAAAAGTAAGAAATACATTTTGTACTGAGACCACCACCTACCTAGCACATGAATATGTTTCATTTGAGGGCCTCCCCTGTGGCGCAGCGGTTGAGTGCTGGGTTGCGAAACTGCCTGCAGCCTCTGCAGCACCGGTTCAATCCCCGCCCACCGGGTAAGGGTCCCACATGGCGCGCAGACCTCTCCTGCCGCCCCCTGCTCCCCTCAGCAGTGTACTTCGGTCCTTCTGCCTGCTCTGCTCCCCGCTCTGGCTCTGGTGAATTCTCTCGCCCTCCCGCGCTTCTGACTGTACCCAGTGCTTGTATTAATAAATTAATTAATTAAATTAAATTAAATAGAATATTTTTCATTTGAAAAATGCTTAACCATTACTGTGGTGATGCAATGCATTCTGATACTTCCTAATCTATCCTATCCTGTTTGTTTTTGCTGCTGCTGAATGCACAGCACAAAATTCATCAAATCAGTGAGCTGTAGTTTGAAAATACTGCACTGGATGAATGATGAGATCCCTGAGAAAAGGAGGACGTCCCTTTTTTATCCCCGCACACTCAACACCTGACTGAAGAGCACCCGGGACATGAGGGAGGAGGGTGACTGTCTTCAGACCTACCCTTCAAGTGCAACAGGGAGAGTGCTCCCTCAAAAGAAGAAAAGAGAAAAGGAGGAAGGAATCCTGGCTCATTCATTCAACAAACGTTTCAGTCACTCAGTCAGTCAGTCGACAAATATTTACAGAATCCCAGCTATATACCAAGCCCCTTTCTAGGCCTTGAGCAAGAAACATAAAACAGAGAAGCAGAGAAAAGTGCACTGGTGGGGCTGCTTTAAGAATGATGGAAGTCTCTGAGCCTGGGGTAACTCTCCATAAAAAGGCAATGACGATGCTTACTGGCAGGTGACTGGGGGACTTGACTGGTGTGATGACTCCAAAGGTTGCAGCACCATCCCTGCACAGAGTGGCCTTTATCAGCATCATTACTAGATGGACACCTAAGGTTGGAGGCAGGTTGGGATAAGTTCCAA